CGTCCAGTACTGCGAGTACACTGTGTCTGAGTTTTGTCTGAGTTTTTTGACAGCAAATATATGAAAAAAAATCAATGGTACACAAAGTGAAGATGCATCGTCACTCACAAACTCCTGTCTGCTGCACCTCTGCTGTAAACATTGTAATGAAGTTAAGACTTGCTGTGCACTGGGTTCATCTCCCCTCAGGCCCTGCTATTTGGAGCTGAGCTGCAGTAGCTGAGCCACAGGCCTCGGTCCTGTCCGAGTGCTGTGTGTGTGTTTGTCTGACTCATGCTCCCGTACCCAACCTTCTGTGGTTGAAAGAAAAACACAAAACACAAAACTAACTTCACGGCACCAATCTTAAACCAGCAGCGACTGCCGACATCAAGGACTGTGCAGAGCACGACCACAGGTTTCCTCACAGATTCCGCATAATTTGCTTGGCGTGTTAGTAGTGCTGTGTACATGCAGGAATACTAATGTGTTTTTTTGCTCCAAGGATGCACGTGTGCTTTTGCGAGTTTGCGAGCTTGATGTGATTCGGCCTGATGTTCCCCCGTGTCCCAGGGAGCCGCGGAGAAGTGGGACGGGAGAAGTAAAATGTTAACAGCCCGCTCTGACACATAGTTAGCGTGAATTCGTTAGCCCGTGGCCTCTCCTGTCCTGACCTCTTCCATTTTCTCCTGCTCCTCCACTCAGGACCCAGGAGCTATTTAAAATAGTCGTTTGAATATTTCATGTTTTTCTGTGTGTTCCTGCAGACTGTGGTTTGAGGCATGTATGGGATGAGCTCTGATGTTGCTGCAGCGTCTACAGATCTGCTCAAAAATAAAGTAGACTTGTTTACTGTAGTGATGTAAGATTTTGGTCAGTAACCTAAGGTTGTGGAACTGAGGATTCAAATATATATTATTTCTACATCAAAGATTTGCACATTTTTACTGAAGAACAAACTTTGCTTCTCTCCTTCTGTCCCAAGTCCACCCTTTGCTGAAAGCTATTTTTACCTGCAAAATGGTACAAATAACAAACTAGCTTCAGGCTCCCAGTCACTGGGATGAGAGACATGATGCACCATACAGCACCTGGAAAATCTCCAGGATTTTCAAGGCATGTTTCTGTGGTGACACAGTCATGATGCTACACTCTGTGTTCCCTCATGCAGTGTCACCTATCGTCACACCAGATGTTCAGGGCTTCACTGTGTGTCTGCAGTCAGAAACATTAACTGTATCTGAGTGCACTCATCCACTCTGTGAGACATACAGTGGTTCTGAGCAGAACATTTGGTCTTTGGTATGAGTTTGAATCACAGTCGTAAAATAAATGTATTTACGGAATTACCAAAACTCTGTTCATTTCTGTGCAGTTCTATGACAGCTGAACTGAAGCATCCCAGTGGAGTGGCTGTCAGCAGCAGCAGTGTCATGTTTGGCCACGGTTTAACTGTACGGGGTACAGTGTACTCTGTGTATAGTACTGTACCGTATATATATATTTGACAGAAAGCCCTGAACTGCACAGCAACCCCTCCAAAAAAGACTGTGCAGAGAAAACCTATACGTACAAACATAAATCCAAAATGTTTCTGTCTCTTCAGCCTGAAGCTTTTCTCTCTGTGTTATTAACACACAAGCAGGGGATGTGTGTGTGTGTGTGTGTGTGTGTGTGTGTGTGGTTGCAGTAATGTGTTAAGGTCATTAAGCCAGCCGTCTTGTGTGTTTTCACGTCTGTGGTTCTGTGAAGGAAGGGTAACAGTTCAAGGTCAGCGGTCGAGCACCACCGAGCGTCCGCACCACACGCAAGACCGACGTGTGTTCGTGCACACGCACGTTTATTGTTGCAGACTGAGCAGGATTTTTTGGAAGCCTCTGCTCTCTGCCCATCCTGCCTCTGTTGCCATGGTGATGCCTTTATCTCCTAAAACCCTAAATGTACATTTGTGGTCTCAGTGAATATGTTCGAGTCAGATTTATTTACCGAAAAACAGCGGGTTTTAACAAAGCAGATTGGTTACGGAGTCTCAGCGGGAACACGGAGAACAATGCTCCTAAATTTCTGGCGGAACAGAAAGTAAATCCATGTGGGACAGGAGAGCGGGGCTTTCTCTGGATTGGGTCGCATTGTTGTTATTGAACAAGGAGGTAATTGTTATGTGGGAATGTTTACAAATGAGCCGGGTGATAAATGTTGGGTAGTGTTGCCTCTGTGTGTGTGTGTGTGTGTGTGTGTGTGTGTTCTACCATAGACAACATTTGGCAGAGAGACAGGTAGTTTAGATTTAATGGATCAACATCCAGCTGCAGCAGAGGCGCTAACAGGCTACATCTAAATAAACTGTACTACTGCTGAAAAAAAGTACAATACTTACAATTTGTTGCTGCTTAATTCATGTCTACAACAGTATTTAGAAAGTTGCTGCTTAAGAATTTGTGTTTTTGTCAAAAAAAATAATTGGTCCATACTATTTTCCGTGTCATATTATATGATGTTATATATGTATTAAGGGATGTTTTCCCACTCTCCTGGTAATGGTGTTTGTTCTCCACATTAACAGCCTGTCCTGTCCTCCACTGACTGCAAAATAAATAAAACTCCTCCGCCTGACTTAGACACGGTCCAAGAGAAGACTTTTTCCCTGGTCGCTCTTTGACATTACTTACATTTGGTTGCAGCTCCTGGCTCTCGTCAGGCGTACGCGCTCGTCCTGTCGCCATCGTGATTTGGCCTCTGAGAAGTCTCTCCTCTGTGGGCTGCGACCTTCTCTGCCATCCTTCATTCCAAATCATGTGATTAAGGAAGGGGCAGCTTAGGTGGAGCGGCCGACTTCTGACATAAGGCTGTCTGCAGGGTGTAGCAGGGACGGGAGGAGGAGGAGATGACTGAGCAACCGAGCGTTCTGTGATGTCTTCATTGCTGACATGCAAATGGACACACACACACACACACAGACACATACACACACTGCTATTGGGGATTGCCTGGCCTGACGGAGCCGTCCATCACCGTCCTCAGTGAGCTTATACAAAGAGCATTTGAGTTTAGAACTTCCTCAGGTCTTAAAATCCTCTCTCTACCACAATGTGATGTGAGTCAACCGTGAGTTTTGGTAAAAAAAAAATAAAATAAAAATATTTTTTTCCCTCTGTCTCATCCAGGTCCTCTAAGGCTCACCCTGGACCAGTTGTTCATATAAGTGACAACCCCATAGACGAGGGGAAGGTGAGCGAGAACTCTCATTCCTGTCCATTTATTGAAAAGAGTAAAATGATTAACTTTAGTCACAAAGGTGTGCTTAGATTTAATTGCGACACAAAAGCTGTTATCATGTGTGTTGTCTCTGAAAGGAACCCCTTTAGAATCACTTAAGAATCTCTCAGATGTTTTTTTCCAAACCAGAGGGGAATAGGTGTCTGCTTACACGGGTGGATTCTACTTCCTTTCATGCTGTGTTTGAATGTCAGATGTATTAGGTCTCAGCTGACTCCCGGCTGTCATCTCTGCCACCTAGCCCACTGACTGACTACCTGTCGCTCTTCCTCTCCAGCTCATAATTGGATTTGAGTCTGGGATCGTGGTCCTGTGGGATCTGAAATCAAAGAAGGCAGACTATCGCTACACTTACGACGAGGTAGGCAAATCTCCCGTATTTCCTTTCTTCTCCAAACGCTTTCAATCATTCGCTCCGCTTCTGATCTACAGCACAGATCTCCCTTTGAATACGGAGGACGAGAATTAAATCACGTATGCACGGAGCTGTGCAGAAGGTGCAATGTAAGGATTATATTCCTGGGACAAAGTCATGGTTGAGGAGTCGGCTGCGGCTGAAATATCAGATCACACATGGTAAACCTATGTAAATACGTCCACAGCCGACGCCCTCAGCTGTTAGTTGTATTTTAAAAAATTGCGATGATACTAAGAGGCTGGTTTCACCTCCCGTAGGGCGAGAGGGTGACGGGTCTTCCTCCATTGGAATTAGCAGCTTCTAATGTGTCATATCATAAAACAAAACAGATGAAACTCAGCTCATCAAAGCGTTCCCTTAACGTCGGCGGCGTGTTTAGACAGCCGATATTATGAGATGAGTCACTTCACAGGATGAAACCGTAAAAATCACAGTAATCTGTGTACCAGCGTCTGCAACAAAGAACAATGTGTGAAATGCATCTTTTTAACAGTGTGATTTATGAGCTGGTGTCATTTTCAGCTCTCAGAAGAGAGATGGAAAAAAAAAGAGATTCAACATGAATAGAAAGGGGAACTGTATTGAATGAGCTGCACCTGTTTAAGGCAGTGAGTCATGTGGCTTCAGAAAACCAATTATGTGTCTTAATAAGAGAGAGACAAAAGGTCCACGTAATACAAAGCAACACAGAGTACTTCAGAGTCGTTCAGATTTCCTTTCATAGTATTGTATCATATCGTATTGTTTTGTATGATGTTTTACCTTATCATATTTCAAAAATCTGTGACAATTACAGAAGCACAGATGCCAGTCATAAATTCTTAAAATGCATATTATTTATGGACAGCTTAGTTAAAGTTGTTCATGTTACATTGCTACAGAAGCACAGATGCCAGTTATAAATTCTTAATATGCATATTATTTAGTTAAAGTTGTTCATGTTACATTGCACTTGTAATAATAATTTGAGAAAGATAAGTGCTGAAAAGCAGGGTCTGCTCTTATATTTGTTTTCTTGATCTGTCCTCACTCTGGTGGTGTGTTAGGGATCATTACATATTACATATTTTAAAAAAGCAAAAAAAAAAAAAAAATCTCTGAAATTCCTCTTCAAACAGTAGCTTCGATGTGAGTGAACTTAATTTTGAGGTTATAAATCAAAGGCAGCCGTCTTCGGTCGCTCTGTTCTTTAATTCAAACACATTTTGCCCAGAAGCTTCCTACGAACTATCAAGGTTTCTGACGTAAACCAACACAGAGGCTTATCCCGCTCTCCTTCTGAGCAACAGACTTTGCCGGCAGCAGACTTTCAATCAGACTCTGGAATAAAAGGATCTAAATCCATGTTACACTGTTGAGAAAAGTCGGGATTTCAAAGCCGTTCAGAAATAGTCAAACTTTCTCAGAGAATTTCAGCAGGTGGACTTCAGATGTGGGATATAAATAGCACCTGGAATGTGAGAGACCAGGTTCTGGGTCTGGGAGTTTATTGTCTGTTATTAGTTTGTGATGCAGTGGTAGAGCTTTAGAGTGAGTTCAGGGCCAAAGATCATCCATCACCCTGACCCTGCTCCACTCTGCTCCACTCTGTGTCTGCAGACACACTTTTAGTTTGGATCGGATAAGATGCTGGGTTTCAGATTCAGACTCAGGCTGCCACTGATCGTTATTGATGTGGTTGTTTTAAGTCCATATACTAGGATTTAGTTTCATTTAATTGAAAAATGCCAATTCATTAGACTCTGTGCTTGTGAAACGTACGGTGACGTGTCCATCAGGACAAAGACTCAACGTTGAATGAAACAGTTTATTTCAAACATCAAATGTCTGCAGTCGTTCATTTTCATTTTCTAACAGTAAATATTACACAGAATATTTATTCACACACTTTAATAGTTTAGAAATTTTGAAATGATTCAACGGTTGTTCATCAATCACTACATAATACACCAAAAATAATTGGTCTGTATTGTTTGACAATGGATGATGTGTTTTTGTTTTCCCACCAGAACAACAAAAATGTTTTTTAGAAATCTCTTTAGAAACTCCTTTCCCATAAAGCTCCTGTTTTTTTTTTTTTTTTTATGCTCCTTGTTTTTTTGTTTTTTTTTTACTTTGTTCATTTGTATGATGTTTTTGTATTTGAACTGCGTTATCACTGCTGTGAGACAGTGTGTAGGAGTGTTGGTGTGAAGAAACAAATATAGAGATGAGTTGCCTTTACATCTCAAGGTGACTCAATGCTGCCGAAAACGAAGTTGTTTTTTTTTTGTTTGTATTTGCATGTTTACCCCGTACTCAATAATGAGAGACGAAAACACAAGTGGACCTGGTCGTCCCCGATGAGCAGCCCGTGAAATCCGACCCTAATGTTATAAATCATGGAATGAGTCACTTTAATTGGTATCATGTGATATGATGAGTCTGATGTGTTTTAATTACCCTACTCAATTCTCAATTAGCCACTCTGCATTGTTCACCCCTGGGACTGTCACAGTAAACAATTATGCAGATAGATTTTTCCAGGAGTCAATCTGTCCTTGACGAGACGTCGCCGCCGCGTGACACCGAGCTGCCGCGAATAACCGTAGTGAAGGATTGAACTTTCTTTTTTAGAAAATGCATGTAGATTCAGATCATCGTCTATGGATCAAAGGTTCAAATGTTGACATAATAATCAGTATTTTGTGATTCTGGAAAACTAAAAAAGTGTTTTTTAATATCCATTCTGTAAGGGGATAAGTGTATAGTTATATATACAATGGTAAAAATGATTACCTGACCTTGCTTGAAAAAATACAGTTCACTGTGTTCTTGGTTCCATTAGTTCCAAAAAAGACTCTAAAGTTGTTCCTCATCATGATTTCAATCATTTTCAGAAAAGTAAATTAAAGAGGAAATGAGGAGAAACACCGACTGAAACCAGACCCAGGAACGAAGGCACCGTAGATTTTCAGAACCTCATCCATGTTTGATGTGTGTGCCCTTTTATGGGAGTACGAGGGAATGACTCATTAGGTGTGTAATGAGACTGTATCCGGCGTGATGTCGGCCTCGTCAGGATAACAGTGACCTGGAGGATATATCACAGAGGGAAACAGGGTAATAAGGGACGGGAAAACCTGCCCAAACATACAGAACGAATTTGATAAAGGAATTTTATTCCAAATGTACTCCAGGATCTGTGAGACCGGGGCCAAGAAACACTGCGCAAAAATGGCATATCAGCAGTCGGCAGATGGGGTTCATTAGCCTCGAAACATACAATTAGGATGAAATCTACTCTTGGACTGAAGCGATGAGATCCGTTGGTTTGAGCCAAACCCTGCTGTAGCTTGAGCTGATGCCTTAGCGTTGCTGCTAAAAAGCTAAATGTTTTCGTATATCATGTGAGCCTGACACGTGGAGAGGCCGTTATGATTAACGAGGCACTGAAGGCGAATTTGATAAACGCAATAAATAGAAGTGCAATTAGGATAAATTGACTGTGTGTGTTGACGCCGGCGTCGGCCGCATGCTATCGTTCATTGGATTGGAGAGGTGCGAGACATGAAACAACATTTGGGAGACGAGTTGTCTCTCACAGAGCTAGCAGCTAATTAACCAATTAACAGTTAGTGCTGCGTGATGTCGGTGCTCACTCAGATAAACTCAGAAGAGAAAACATTTCCAATCAAAATGGATTTTATATAATTTTTAGAACATCCTATTACAGAATATTTTTATACCGAGTGAAAATATTTTCCTCCCAGAAGTTTGAGATGGTGTTGAGTAACTGATGCTGCAGGTGTTGAAGACCCCAACCCACCCCCCAGGGTGATTATAATTTGTGTCACATGTCTGGTTTAAAGACACCGCTCCAGTGCTGTGAGCGTCAGACAACTTTGCAGAATAGCATCGTATTTACTTAATGTCAAGATGTTTGTCTGGTTTAATTTTGAAAGGGCATCGACAGGGAGGGCTGCCCTTTACTGACAGACCTGGGTCCCGTGCGCGTCTGTGTTTTCACTGATTGCCACGTCTGTAGATAAATGTTTGGGTGATGGAGGAGATGCGAGGACACAGAGGACACCGGCTCTCGCCTGACGTTCCAAGTTTTTCCCTTTTCATTTAGCAGATGCAGTCTGTGAAAGGGTTTCTTCTTCCCGTATTTATCTTCAGCTTCACTGGTGTTTGTGGTCCTGTCAGGACAGAAAACTGTGGTTTTTATTTAACTCAAATGTTTTGTCTTTAATGGTTTGAAATTAGTTTTAAAATAAAGAAAAATAGTCGAGAGCCAAAAGTAAGGAACAAAAAATTAGACTCAATAATTAGCAGAAAGATATTGAAAAATATATTTAAAATATGTACAAATTTATATCATGATTATTTTTTTGACATATTCGTTCCACCATCTGTTGAACACTCAGTGTCAACTCGTGGCCGGCGTTTTAACACACATATGAACACTGCGGCCCATATGGCTGCCGTGATACAACCAACCTGCAGCATCAGTTGATGTTTCCTCCCGGTGAACCGCTGACTACCCCCTGCTTTCTTCCTGCTGTTTCCTAGGCGATCCACTCAGTTGCCTGGCATCACGAGGGCAAGCAGTTCATCTGCAGTCACTCAGACGGAACTCTGACCATATGGAACATCAGAGGCCAGGGCAAGCCCATCCAGACAATCACCCCGCATGGTAAGAAGGTGGACTCGCACCAACACACACACACTTCCAAGAAAATGTTTGCAAATGACCTCAGACATTGTTATGGCCTAATTCAGGCATGGGCAAACTAAGGGCCGGGGGCCGGATACGGTCCGTTTAGCTTTTTAATCAGGCCCGCCAAACTTTTCTTAAATTATATAATTTATTGATATTATCATTATACTTTTCTCTGCAATACCCACTTTTCCCCAAAAGATGGCGCTCGTGACCATGCCTGGCTAGTTGGTAATTTCAGTGGGAAAATATTTTTTTTATTCAGTTACACCTGAAAAAGGTCACTCCTACCTACAGTAATAGCAGGAATCTGAATGCACTCTCTTCTTGCAATTACTTCTGTTATTAAGTCAGTGTTATCACAGTGTCCCTCTGTGGGTCACATGACCCTCTCTTTACTCAGCGGCCAGCCCTCAGTGTGCCAGCGTTCTCGTCTCCGTCATCATTTTCTCATTTCAGTCAGATGATTACTGTCAGCGCAGTTTGCTCGCCACGGTGTCTGCGCACACACACTTACGCACCAGTGACGCCACTGTGTTTATTTTACTGCAAAAGCGAGTCTGCTCCTGTGAAGATGCGTTTGAATCCGCAGCCTCCGACCGACAGAACAGACGCACACTCAGCCGCTCGGCTCAGCTTCATGGAAAACCTTCAAGAAGTAGATTTCAGGTGTAAACGCGAGCGCTGGACAAAGGAAAGAGGAACAAACAGAACAAATGACGAAGTCATTTCTCAACCTGGTTCTTTGTTTAGGGATTTCACCACAGGCATTTTAATTAGTTGTTTCTCCCACTGCTGCTCGCATAATTACTTTGGTATTTAATGGGCAATTATGCAAATTCCTTTGACAGCTTTAAGTAAGGCCTGTGTATAAGTCCCTGTCTGTGCGGTTGTCCTTTAGAAATCTGTTATTTAGATGTAGTTATTTAAAGTTTCTTTTATTATTATTCAGACCTGCCCTTCATAACCTGCCTCGAGACCCGATTTGAATTTTCCCCAAAAGCTGTTTTTATAGCGAAACATTTCAGCAGCCCATTATTTCTGTTTAGCGTTGACGTCTGAATAGACGGATGTTGTATATAATGAGTGTCAAATCCTCTCTGTGTACGTCCGCCGCCGTCGCTGCTGCTGCGTCTTTGTTTTCTCGTCTGCTTCTGTGAGTTAAATTGCATAAACGGGAGACGGAGAGGAGAGAGTAAACTGGCACGACTTAAATAACTTTTTGTTTGTTTGTGCTCCTTTTAGGAAAACAGCCCAAGGATGGGAAGAAGCCGGAGCCGTGTAAACCCATTCTCAAAGTAGAGTACAAGACCACCAGGAATGGGTGGGTTCTCTGGTTCTGTCTTCACTCACTGACACTGACACGTTGTATCCAGACATTGCTCTGAAGACGAGGGTATTATTAGGCTGTGGAAGATGTGACAGACGGGTATTTGTCTTAGACAGCCCCCCACTCCATGAAGCCGTCCCACATCAGTCATGTAGAACCAACAACAGGCTCTGTTCTCTCCACACCGTTATTTGCAGTGTAAATGATAACACACCCTTCCTCTTTTGGCTGCTCACTTCTGGGGTCACTGCAACACGTCATCCACTGCCTCCTACAGTGGAACACCAACCTTCCATATTCCCCTCTTCATCAGTCTTTGCCCTGATCTTCTGTTCACAGCTCCATCACCAACGTCCTTTGGCTAATACAGTGGTCCTTCATTATTTTTCTGTCATACCCCCCCTTGAGGACAGAAATGTTTTTACAACCCATTATTCTATTATTTATCTTTAGTATATGTCCAAACCATTTTAACTTTGCGTTACACGGCTGATTATCTTTAGTACATGTAGTATAACCATTTTAACTTTGCGTTACACGGCTGACCAGTTCTTTTTAGTTTATTAGTTCAAGTCTATTTCTATTTATCAAAGACTTTCATGAGGATTTTTTTGTGCCCTCCATGAGATATTTTTAAAAAATGTTTGCAATCTTGTTTTGTAATTTATTTGTGAACCAGCCTGATTTATTATTATAAAAAAAATGTTTTTGTGAACCAGCCTGATTTATTATTATGTCATTTGGAAACTAAATACTCAGTTCAATAAGTTCAAAGAAAAACGCGCTGCTTCTTTTGACTTTAATAAAAAATGTTAATGCTAGAAGGTAATTTGTTGATTTAATGGAGGATTAGAAATGCTCTCTGATCTGTGAAGTCGACCTATGGAATGCCTTGTTATTGTTTCACTTGCTTCCTTCTGTGTGGATTCCAGGGATCCGTTCATAATCCTGTCTGGCGGTCTGTCCTACGACACGGTGGGCCGGCGGCCTTGTCTAACGGTGATGCACGGAAAGAGTACAGCTGTACTGGAGATGGATTATCCCATCGTAGATTTCCTCACGCTTTGCGAGACACCGTACCCTAACGGTAAGTAATCACACTCACATATGCAAACACAAATACACACACAAGTTTCTGGTTTTTAATTATGTCAGATTGGTTTCTCTCCGTGTTTGCGCGCCTCTGTAATAAATATGAAATTTCCCCAGGGAAAGGATCCGATTTCGCTTTTGTTTATCCCCCACGTTTAATATCACATTTTCATTTGGCGGTTTTGTACACACACACACACACACACACACACACACACACACACACACACACACACACACACACACACACACACACACACACACACACACACACACACACACACACACACACACACACACACACACACACACACACACACACACACACACACACACACACACACACACACACACACACACACACACACACACACACACAAGCTTTTCATCTAAATTAAATATTATAATATTATTATAATATTTTCCTGTATTGCTCAGTCGAAAGCTGAACCGAGTCACAGCGAAGGCAACACTACAGAGTCCTGCGCCTCGGTAATCCACTGTGCCACATTACGTGGCACATACAGAAAGGATAAGCTGGTTATGTAAGACTTGCGACTCTGATTCCACTGGCCACCAGCTGTAGTGTCAGTGCCCGATTAATTTATCTGGTGACGGACATTACTGAGGCTTTGGATTACACAATCCACATCTGTGTGATTAAGCCGGTGTGGGTGTGTAATCCCTGTGAATCCATGGCTACAGGTGACGCTACATCCTCAGCATAACGCTGCGCAACACACACTGGTTAAAACACACCACTGTTTACTGCACAGAAGTATGACTCCTGTTACTGACATCACAGTCAACCATGCAAAATATTCTATATTTACTTAAAAAAACTCTTTGAACTGAAGTCTGCAGGTATTTTTCTTTTTTTCAGTTAACACTAACTGCTGCGTCAGATTGACTTTTACAAGTAATAAACTCATAGATAAGACATTTTTGCATCATATATAGAGTTATATTTTTAATGTGTTTTCAAGAGTATTCCAAGTTTCAGAATGGACTCTTTTGTCAGGACTTGTTTGTGTGATAGATCACATGACACAAAAATGAGCTCTTACCTAACATACACTAGCTACTGTCTTAACCAGCAGTCAGGATTTACCTGTGCACTCAACACCAAATTAGTCACAGCGCCCCCTGTATGGGATAGAGAGATTTTTTCACAGTAGAGGTCAGAGTATTGAGGATACAGTAAAAGTTTATCCATCGAGAACAGTCACTGACAGAGGCCTTTGTCTGTGTCTGTACTGTGCGGAGAGATTTTATTTTGTATACTTCAAGATTTATGCTAGTGGTATAACAATGTACAGTCACTGACAGAGGCCTTTGTCTGTGTCTGTACTGTGCAGATTTTCAGGAACCTTACGCTGTGGTGGTGCTCCTGGAGAAGGATTTAGTGGTGATTGACCTTGCACAAAATGGGTGAGTGAGTCCTACTAAAACAAAATGGATAAAACTCTTAATCATTCAAATGCATGCCTGTGCTGTAGCCACTTAATTAACAATGAAATACACAATATTTAAAGATACTTATAGGTGATCAACACGTATTCAATTCAATTAGTAATGTAAGTAAATCAGTTCATTGTTAAAGACTCATATCCATGATAAAATGATCTCAAATATATTAAGAAAAATCTAATTCTAAAATGGACTGTATGTGATCCATACAGAAAGTTTCACATTAATTAAACTCATAAGTTTACTGCAAAAAAAAGTTGCAGTAAAGCTTAAAGTTCAGTCAAGTTTTCTTCCCTGAAGGGAAAGCCATTTAAATGTACTTTAAACAGGAAGTCCTCGACCAAATGACTCATTCTGGGGTCATGATTTCCCTGCAGGTTGATTTTGGAAACACTTGACTTTTAATCTGCTCAGATTTTCTCTCTCATTCCGACCGAAAAATATTCAAGGGACTGCAGCACGATTAATGGACAGAATGACAGACGCGTTTGACCTTTGACCTTTTGTTGGTGTCGTCTCTCCGCAACAGTTACCCCATATTTGAAAACCCCTATCCTCTAACTATCCACGAGTCTCCTGTGACCTGCTGCGAGTACTTTGCCGACTGCCCCGTGGACCTCATACCTGCACTTTACTCTGTGGGCTCTCGACAAAAGCGACAGGGATACAGCAAAAAGGTGAGAAAACCCGGCGGCACAAAGGTCTCTTTGTAGCAACAAACTGCTGAGAAAGTCTGAAAAGCAAACATTTTGCCTGCGGTTGCATAAAAGATGTGGTGATTCTGCATTAGTTATAGAAAAAAAAAAGTCTTTGAGAGAAAACAACCTTTTTTTTAATCATTTCCATGATGATGATAAAATGACTACACAGTGGATTTAGAGCTCTATATGATAGTTTATATGTGACCTCAAATGACCTTTAATTACAGATACGCTCGCTCTGTGAGGTCACTGCACACATGCAACAGGAAGTGGCGATTATTTCTACAGTCTAATTGCAGAGCTGTGTTGAGTGATTTCCGTGGAGTTTTATATTGACACACTCAGCCTCTCTGTACGTTCGTCGGGGCTGACGCAGCAGGAACGCAGCTGCTGAGGCAACGTTACGGCTCTAAAGGAATTGTACGTTGTGCAGTCACTTCATAAATCACGGCCGTATTAGGAAGTCTGTGTACGGTGATCTGAGATACTACAGGACAGACGCTGCAGAGGCATGATGGGATTTTATTCCCTTTTCCCTCTTTTTTTTAAAGGGTATTTTTGCCGTAACACTAACCTGTCCATAGTTTTACTTCTATGATCCAACTGGAGCGTGCTTTAAAAATGCATACTTTTTTATGGCGTTGTGAAGTTAAAATACTGATCATTAAAGATGATTGGTGTTCAATCTGGGTATGCCCTAGAAAATGATGAGCCTTTGTAGCATATGTACGTTGAAGGTGATAGTTTGAACATGTTTAGAGGTGAAGAAGATATCCATTTTTGGTAGTTTGTCTTGTTCCAGCTGTCTGTGTGTAGGTATAAGCCTGAGCGAGACTACTTTACTGTTGACATTTAGTTGCAGGCTGGAGGTGGGTGGGATTTGGGACAGCCCTGTTTTTGAAACCATTTGTGATAAGAGTGCAGTGAAGTGTTGATGTTTAAACAAATCTTTTTACAAATTCTTTTTCCTCCCTCCCAGTAAAGCGTTTGATAATGAAAGAGTGATTTTCTTTCATGTTCTTCTCAGGTTTGGTTAGTTTTGATTGATTTTCTTTTTAACTCTTTGTAAATTCAAAGTTTGTGTTCCCAGGACGTAAATGTGTGTAAATGTTTTTATTGGCCACTAGGTTTCAGGGGTTTGTGTCTCTGTGACTTTGTCTCTCAAGGACAGAAAGACAAATTCTTTGTATAAACATTCAGAGCTGTGTAGGGACTCAAACCCAACACTCCACCAGTGTTCACTAGTGTCACATCACATCCTTCCTCCTCTCTCCTCTTTTTCTTCCTCTTTATCTCAGTCATTTTATTTTGCTTACAGCCATTATGTATATGCCCGTGTTGACTCCGCTCCCCGTCGCCTCGTTCTGTCTCCCTGCCGGAAATGTCAGCGTGTTCTGAGCCGTTCTGGCAGCGTGGCTGCTGCTTTTTCTCTCCTCGTTCAGCCGAGGCCTGTTGGAGCTGCAGGAGGGCATTCTCACTTAAAAATCACCATGAGTCATCCCGGTGACCTTTGTATGTCTGCGTGTTCAATGACAACCCCCCCCTAACCCCCTCCACCCTCATCTTCAACACCCCACCAACACACACACACACAGGCCCATATTACTGAATAATCTATGAACCCTGCCTGTGTTTTCCATCCACACCTCGGCAGTTTCATCATGTCGTCCATGTTTGGAAATCGATGTGTGTGTTGACACACACTCTCCATTGACGGAGCCTCCTCCGCTCTCTCATTTACTCTTACTGTTTTTCCAGGAATGGCCTATTAGTGGTGGAAACTGGGGTCAAGGCACACAGAGCTACTCAGAGATCATCACCACTGGGTAAGACCACACTGATTTCATTAGCATCATCATTAGCGTCTCGCCGCCACTGGCTTTTCTCATTTGCGTTTCCTCTGCACAGTCAGGTCAACGCAGACTTAAATGTCCTGCAAACATTTGTGTGTTTACTGAGCTTCATTTTGATGTTCATTATCTGGGTTTAGGATGTTTACAGGGGCAGATTAGAAGGTGTGTTAGCATCGCACACACACACACACACACACATACGCCCCTTCCTGACATAGTGACATAAAGGAATCAGCATGGAATTAAGAAGCTCTCCTTCAGCTGAGAGTTTTGTCTCCCACTCCTCTCAGCATCCGACGCCATCAGGAGTAAAAAAAAAACATTTTAAAAAATGACAACCAGAGACAGGCTGTCAGTCTTGTCAGCTGTTGTTTGGATTATTTAAAAAAAAAACATGATAATGGAATCACAATTAGTAAATTCTCATCATTCACATCCACGTCCTGACGTCTGAGCCCTCCATGTTTTTCAGTCTTTTTGAGTCCATGAAAAATGGCTTCAAATGATTCTCAGGAGATATTTTTATCATCTGAACTTTGAAAAAAAAAACCACAACAACAAAAAAGACACTTTCAACTTCACCCAGTGAAGCAGCAGGACAGACAGCAGGATGCAAATTGAAATTCATCTCATGTTTTCCCTTCTTTTCTTCTCCTTCTTTCTTCTTTTTTTAATTCCCAGACATGCTGATGGAACTGTGAAGTTCTGGGATGCCTCCGCAAGTGAGTCCTGTCGCTCAGAACCTTTGAAGTTTATGTGACTTTAGAAGTCGTTGGCTGGAAATGTACAGACGCCCGATAGATTTACAAAAAAAAACTTTAAGCCACTATTGAAATATAATAATAAATGGTCAGCGGTTCTTTAGGAAAGACCTTTTAAAGACGTTCAGTGAACTCTGTCACTTGATTGTAGGTTCAGACGTGTTCTGTTTGTCTAATAACTCCCACTCTCCTGTGGTTTTTGGTGTCTTTTTCATCCCAGTAATGCTCCAGGTGCTCTACAAGCTTAAAACTGCTAAGGTGTTTGACAGAAACCGGTCCAAGGAAGACAAGGGCAGCGCGGACGCGTCAGACGAAGACCCCTTCGCCATTCAGATCATGGCCTGGTGCCCCGAGAGCCGTATGCTCTGTGTGGCCGGAGTGTCGGCCAACGTCATCATCTACCGCTTCAGCAAGTTAGAAGTCACCACAGAGGTGCTGCAGGTGAGTCACACTGATATTAAACTGCTTTAAGAACCAACAAGGGATGGTTTTTAGTATTTCTCACCATCCAACATTTCTCTCTGGATGACAGACGGTCGTCTGCTGTAGTAGAGCAGTTTTTTTCATCAAGTTTCAGTCAAAACTCCTGAGGTTTTTTTCAGACCTTTTCCCTTTGCTGAGTCTCTTAAGCTCCTCCAGATTTGGCGGCCTTCTGGTGTGGACGCTGGTCTTTCGTTTACGGCACAGATTCTTCTCAGGGATTTGAGTCAGAGCTCGGTGCAGGCGAGTCACAAACAGTCTGGGGATGGTTGTTTTCCTCAAGTTTTGAGGGGGTTGTTATCGTACTGGAAGACGACAAAAATAACAGCGGCCCATTTTTGTCGCTGACCTTGTCATTTTCTTTTGTGATTTTTTTTAATAATTGTTTTTATTTTTCCTTCCACCCAGACATTATTCTTAATAGGAAGCACTGTAGCCTCTATTTATTATATATATATACATATATTTATTATATATAAAGAAGCACTGTAGCCTCTACTTATTTTACTGACCTAGGTGAGATTGATGCCCCCCACCCCCCCTCACATCAGACATTGGTGGATTAATTGTGGATCACAGCAACACATTGAAATACTATTAAATAAATGCTCTCTGTCACCGTATTATTATTAGAAACAATGAAATGTGATAGAATAAAAAAGAAAACAAAAGCTGCGGGGGTTTCAAATTAAAGTCATTACCAGTGACAACAATTTTTTTTTTTTAAGCCATGGTTTTATTTTCAAAACAACACAAGGATATTACATATATATATATATATATATATAATGGTTACAGTCTTACACACTCCATCATCAGTCTTGTATTTGTATGTTATTAGAAAATCAAGGTAACTATACAAGAAATTCAAATTCTTCGATGAATTTTAAAGTCAGATGTGTCATGCACAGTCGAGTCAAAGGCAGTATGGTTGCCATGGCGACAGACACTGCAGAGAATAAGCAAAGCTAAGCCGTTATGCTAATCCGACCTGACGGCGGTCAAAGCACTTATGGGACTGTAATGGAAGTTAATGTGCAGTGATGTTCAAAGGAATTCTGTGAGATAACGTGTGGTCTCTGCTGCTGGACGCCATCGCTGGGTTGTTGGAGTTCCAATGAAGAAGGAACTTTTATGGATCTGGCAACTTTGTCCCTGTTATGCAGTTGTTGTTGTTGTGTTGTTCCAGACTTCACTTGTCAATCAAAGTGCGGTCCGTGGGCAGTGCTGCGACGGCGTCTTTTCTCACAGGTCCGTTGATGGATTTTCGTGTTTATTAGCAGGTGTTCAGGCCCTTCTCAAACAGCCAAGGACGCTTGTTCTGCCAGGAATCCTGTGACCTGCGCGAACCAAACGTTTTCAGACTCTCAGCTCCTCACTTTTTCAACATGAACACCTCAACGTTGTGTTCTCTGCCAAACGGAAACCGTTTTTTTTCCCGTGGGCGACAGGACGCCACCGCTGATGGATGTGATCTGCCTTAATGTGCAGTGTCAGGTCAGGGCGGCTGTGCAGATGTGTCATTAGGACAAGGTCACACACCTTGCTGTAACTTTGCACAAATGAAGGTGATGGAGGAGAAGAGAGAGGAGCAGCAGAGAGAGCTTGAAGGAGGACGCTGATTGCTCTTCACTCCCACGTGTCGGAATGGGCTAATTAGACGGACAGAATTCCGAAGGTGTGTGTGTGTGTGTGTTTTAGTTTAGGTGATGTGTGCCAGTGTGAAGGTGGAGGTTGCAGAGAAGTGGCCCTAAGTAGGAGGAATGGAATAAATCAGTGGTGTAGGAACTCTTGTACTAATTATTCCTACACACACACACACGCCTGCAGAACAGCACGCAGAGAAAAATGGATGCTAGAAATTCATATTTGATTATTCCATTTTATTTTTTTATTTTTTTATTTTTTTATTTTATCAACATTATATATTTGTCATGTGACCATGTCTTTGACACAAACCTTGAACTGTAGTGAAGTTACCTGAAGTATGTTCAGTGTCTAACTTCTTTGTGCTGAACTGAAGTATGGTCAGTGTCTAACTTCTTTGTGCTGAACTGTGAAAAATTTAATTGAATTTTAATCAATAATTTTACTATATTTATATTTCCATTGTTATTGTTATTGAAAATTAACAATTTAATAATATATTAGGAAATTATCATTAATGATAACCGAATAATAATAATCTTGTTAAACATAATAATAAATGAGTACAAATAATAAAGATAAACCTGTTTTTTATGTATAAAGGTTGTTGGCAGGAACTGATGCTGAATGTGCATGACCCTCATCTTTATGAGCTGGTAATATATTGTTAAGGTGTTGCTCCACGATGCCATGATTCCGTGCAGACTGGATCTAATGAAAGTATCCAGTCAGACCACAGAGACTGACTTCAGGTCAGTTCTTGACGGTTTTTCATAAACAGCGACGACGGACAGAAAGTGTGTTGACTCGGTGATAAATGTGCTTGGTGTAAAGTCTTTAAATCAGAAACTTTGGAACATTACGAAGTAATTCCACGTTTAATTTCATGTTTTCAAAGCACAAAAGTCGTTCAACGTTTAATTTCATGTTTTCAAAGCACAACTTGGAAACTTTGTGGCGTTCTGCTCGATTGTGTGGATGTCAGAGTTTCTGTGTACATTTTATTTTGTGTCTTGTGGATGTTTCTGTGTACATTTTATTTTGTGTCTGTGTGTGTCGGTTCATTCAGCTACTAGAGGTGCGACTTCAGTACGAGCTGAATGACACAGAGTCTCCAGACGGAGGCGGAGGAGGTGAACAGACGTCGGCACTCACAACACCCGGAGCCTCGCCTCAGACGAGCGGCCCGCCTTCACATCCCTCCACCAGCAGCAACAACTCTGACGGCGGCAACATTCCCTGTCTGAAGTAAAAAAAAAAAAAACCATACACACACACACGCAGCAGCAGCAGCACTTACAGTACCTTTCATAAGAACTAGAAGTGCTTGCACCCACATACTCAAAACATAAGAGTTTCGCTTTTTGCCTTGAGCACCCTCGCACAGACTCAGCCAGCCCCTGAAGTGTTCACCGCCGCAGCCTTCCCATCATCCCCTTGTAGCTACTCACACCAAGCCCTCAGCACACAGCTGCTTTGGAACTGGAGCCAAATCGCTGTCAAGAAAGAGTTCTTTTCCTGTTTTTATCTTTTTTATCTTTTGACTTCTTACTGTACCTCATGTCTTGATGCTGAATTCTCCTCTCACTCCTCCAGGGTGCGCAGTACTCCTCTGAAGCAGTCTCCAGGTTACCAGGTAGATTTAGTCGTCCAGTTAGTGTGGGTGAGTGGAGAGCCCCCCCAACAGATCACAAGTCTGGCCCTCAATTCCTCCTATGGCCTGTGAGTACACAGTCAATGGATATTTGACATTTTGCTCCAGATTTTGGACTGAAGTTTGAGAAAGATTTTGATTTTCTAAACAAAAAAAACCATCACTCTCTTTCTGCCTTGTCATCTTCCCTCCTCCCCTCTCCTTCACGCCTACACCCGTCTACTTCACCTCATCTCAGAGTGGTGTTTGGCAACAGCAACGGCCTGGCGGTGGTGGACTACGTCCAGAAGACAGTAGTTCTAAACTTGGGAACGGTCGAGCTTTACGGCTCCAACGACCCCTACCAGAGGCAGCCGCGGTCGCCAAGGAAGACGAGGCAGCCTTCAGGAGGTAACGAAGGGAGTGAGAAGGAGAAAGTACAAGTATTTTATGTATTTATTTATTCCTTAAAATGATAGACAGATAAACGTATACATATATACAGTATAAAAAACAGAGAAGTTGAATGAACACAGCAGGGTATTTGATACCTGCCGTCTTTAGTCTACATGCTGATGTGTTCCTTGGTAAGAAAGGAGACCCCTGGCTGTTGTGTAGATATGGTCTTAAATTTCCGCAGACCCCTGGCTGTTGTGTAGATATGGTGTAAATTGGAACAGTGCTACAGAGAGATTGTTTGTGTATGAACTGGTGAACTACAGTTTCGGAGTAGACTTTCAGAGAAGTACTTTACAAGTGCAGTATTGTTTGAAGTACTATAACATGAAACGTATAACCTACTGTGTTACCAACACAAACATCAACTTGGACTCTGGGCTTCGACTTCGTGTGGTATGTTTCAGTGTGTGCACACTGCCACCATGAGTTCAAGGGTGGAAGTGCAGTCCAGTGTGAATGCTGGTTGCTCTGCCTGCGTTTGTGCCAGTGTTGACGACTGTATTTCAGATGTTAATGGCAGTTTATGCTCAACAACCGTGCGTGTGTCAACATGATGCACACACACACTGTCATAAGTTGTAGCTGGAGCTCATGTAAACACACACACACACACACACACATGCGTGGCAGATGCAGTGAGGGTTTGGAGAGGAGCGGTGTGGCACGCGCAGTATAACCTACTGTGTTACCAACACAAACATCAACGTGGACTCTGGGCTTCGACTTCGTGTGGTATGTTTCAGTGTGTGCACACTGCCACCATGAGTTCAAGGGTGGAAGTGCAGTCCAGTGTGAATGCTGGTTGCTCTGCCTGCGTTTGTGCCAGTGTTGACGACTGTATTTCAGATGTTAATGGCAGTTTATGCTCAACAACCGTGCGTGTGTCAACATGATGCACACACACACTGTCATAAGTTGTAGCTGGAGCTCATGTAAACACACACACACACACATGCGTGGCAGCTGCAGTGAGTGATTGGTGAGCAGTGGGCTGGCACCTGCCACAGCCTGCTGAGATAAGCAGTAATCAGACATCCAGCTGTGCTTCTCCACCAGCTGGGACTGTGCTGCGTGGCCCGCCCGGTGTTCCGCCTTTATAAGACGCTGTCACACTCTACCACAAGTGCACACATACACACACACATACACACAAACAAGCAAGAAGGAAGAGGAAGGAATCAAACTAAAAACTGGCAACAACAACAAAAAGGCATAAAGATAGAAATCATCTGATTGGCTCGTCGTCTGCAGCGGTGCTCATATTCCTGCAGAGTTAAATCCCAGTAGTTATTTATGTCATATGATTTGCATACAGTGTGTGAAATGTAACACTTTTTGTTGCAGGGTTGTGCGACATCAACGAGGGCTCGGCCACGTCGGAGGATCGCTGCAAGTCTCCTACTTCAGGTAAAATGTTTTTCAGCATTTTCTCCTCCAAAAATACACAAACCCAGGACAATGAACCGAAGAAGCAAATAAAAAATGCTTCAATCTAAGATTTCACTTTATTGTATTATTTACTGTAATATAATAGCAGAGCCCCAGAGGAACTACATACACAATAGCGCCACCTGTGTGGCAGCCTGTGAGTTGCGACGACTCACACATGGTGAATTTACCCACGGTGGTCAATGAATTTTTATCACTACATCCAGTCAGGAACATTAGTCCCATGTGGAGTAACGTTGACCCTCTGATGTGGAGCTCACTTTATTTAAGGCACTAGCTCTCACCATTGGTGACCGGCCTGACTGCACACTCACTGTACTTTACTTTCCCCCCTTACACCCAAAGTGTTGACGCCCAACAGCAACCTACACCAATTCTACAATGGAGGTGGTAGAGGAGGTAAGACTGGACACAGACTGTCATGACAGGGGGTCTAGGAGGGTCTACGTGCCTCCCCCGATACTGTACGCCCCCCCCACCACCATTTTATTTAATTTTATTTAATTTTACGTCTTTGTCCTTCGAGAAACTCTCTCTGTCGTCCAAGTCACAGTCCATGTCCTGTACCGGGGAAACATCGACCCGTGTCTGTCCTTCTTCTGTGACACTGTCCTTTTGTCCCCCACTGGGACACTCATGCATTGTCAGAGGACCCTGGGAGCAGAGTCGGGCCACGACCGCCTACAGACGTCCAATGCACTCTTTGTTAGCTGCCTTATCCTGTCCCCCTGACTGCATGCTACATGTATGTAGCACGGAGATAAAGTGTACGTGTGCCTGTGTTTGATATCTGTCCTGATGACTGTTCATGACGACACCACGGAGGGGGGAGCGACCCATCTGTCCCACTGTCTTCGTCCACTTCCTGTCTGTGTTGACAAACAATTAGTGTTTTTATTTGTTCTTCTAAATAACCTTTTTTCTTTAATATTTTTTAGTTTTAAGATGAGGGATTTAAGTTGTGAGGGTTTTACAAGGTTTTTTACCTTTTTTTTTTATTAGAGTATCAACTGAAAATCACACCATAACCTTATATAAACTGAATCCTCCTGACAGCCTCACATTCTCTGTGGAAGAACATGTTTTGGGACTTGAACTCATTCCCAGCCCAGTTTTAACCCTATCTGGTACGAGTGGAAATGTTTACGGACGATTAACCTGAGGTTTTAAATCATTTTTCATTTTTCATCGCAGTAATTGCACAGGGTGGCTGTGGATTTATTGCAATTAATCAGGATTAATGGTGATTTTAGTTAATGATATAATAATAATTGGCATTGATCATGCCTGTTTGTGCTCAACATGTGATTAGTTGTGATGAATAGAGTCAGCATTTTCATAGTCTATTGTTGTGATCAACTACGTTACCAAATGATGACCTTTGCAAAACATTCAAGTCAGTAAGCCTGGAAAACTAAAACTCTAATTTATTGCCCAACATTCAGTTTTAAACCACAAGGGGGCATAATTTGAAATATTGACTTTGTCATGGTTTCACACACACATTTGCATCTCTGGAGTGTTTCCCTCCTCAAGTGCTGGTGTTCACTAAACAGACCAACTTTGGAAGCTGCTCTGATACCTTCCACTTTGTGACATCAAAAAATACTTTCAAACTACTGAAGTACTACTAAAGTAGAACCTGATATTCTACCCTCAGTGCAGTAACTCCAGTAGGACCAAGCAGAATAATATTTGACCCTTTTTTTCCCACCTACTTCTCTTTCATTTCTCTTCAACACTTCCTGTCTCATCCTCTTGTTCTTGGTGCATGCTCCTGTGGCATGAGGCTCCTGTCTGGCTGTGCAGTTTTGACGTCCCTCACCGGTCCTCTTGTGCAGGACACGGTGCGAGCAGAGGTCACTACCTTTGTTTTGTCTGTCACTGCATGTCTCTGTGGAAAACAAACAGGTTCTTACGCAGTGTCTTCTTGTTCCCTGTGTGAAAGAATTCTCGGCTCTGGCAGCCAATGAAACGCCTCTGGGCCTCTTGTTCCACAACCTTTTTTTTTTTTGTCATTTTTAATTCAGCCCCGGTGCTAGTTTTCTAGCTTTGCATGGCATTTGTGTGTCGGCGCAGACGTGTCTTTGTAAAGAGGGATGTTCTCTTTTTTCCAGCAAAGATGTCACGGAAATTAAGCTTGCCTACTGAGCTAAAGCCAGACTTGGGTAAGCCTTGACTTTGTGTCTCCAAACAATTCCTTTTCTGCAGCACATTATTTTTTTTCGAACATTCCAACTGGACTCCCATCATATGTCATGACTTGTTTTGATCTGTTTTATTTATTTTTTACGGCCTCAACTTTGACAAGCTACTGTAATATTTGCATGCAACAGTGGTAGCACTGATCTGATCTCTTGGTTTTTGGAATACATTTGTTGACAAGTTCTACGCAGGACACATGCAGGTCCTTATGAGAGGTCAGTGGTGCTAAGCTAAACTCCAGCTACAAGCCATTTCACTGTTGAGCTTTTGTATCCTTTGCAGCTTTTCTTTCTCAGCTATGTTCTTGGCTTTCCTGTCTCTGTCTGATTGGTTCTTTCTAGAACTTCCCAACCTCATAAGAGGAGGACACCCCCCCTTTACCTTATGGGATACACAGCTTTATAGACAACACCATGAATGGAATGTAGTCAGGGGCCAAAACACCAGTTCTTTTATATTTACAGTAGCATTTATATTTACTGATGTATTTATTTGACGATACATTTGTGAAATGGTTATTGTTTACGTTTTTGTTTTTTTTTCTGTTTGTGTTGGATTAGGTTGTGTTTTGTTGGATTAGATTTAGGATTCTTAGACCACACTGTTTTGAAGGTTTTATTTTTCATGATTTTTAACCATTAACAAATATATGGCCTCCATCACTTTTACCAGGACCATCAATGATAAATATAGTTGTCAAGTCTGCTGCCAAATGTCTGGAATGTTTTACTGTGAACCAGGTGCGCTACTATGGTCAGGCTATTGTACTGTATCTCGAAAACATATATAAATATATACTTATATACATATATTTATATATTTAAATATATATTTACTCATGTAAACTTTATATATTGGTACTAATTAATTGCCTGAAGTTGTATGGCACAATATAATTCAATTCAATACATGGTCACTACTACAGACTACAGAGTTATATTTTGAGTTTACAGAGTTTTCTTGTTTTAACTGCCTATGGTCTGGCAGCACTCCCTTTGAGATCTGCTTTGAGATCGTGAGCCAACTATTGGGCACCGCTACCTGTAGATCGTGAGCCAACTATTGGGCACCGCTGGTGTAAACTGTCAAAAACATGGCCCCTGGTTTTTCATGATAATATTCGGTCCACGTTGGTGTGTCCGTCCAGTACTGTGCGGGTGCTTTACCTCTCTGTTTTCCTCTCACTGTCCTCCTGTCTGTATGCCCGCCGCGGGGTGCAAACCCATTAGACCACCGGGACAACTCCTTCAGCCGCTCCCGCTCCTCCAGCGTCACCAGCATCGACAAGGAAGCCCGGGAGGCCGTCAGCTCCTTCCACTTCTGCGAGACCTTCGCTCGAAAGGGGGACTGCGCTTTGACACACTGCCTGCACGTGGGTACGTCCCTAGGAACCGTGCTGGCTCTTGCTATTACGCTACCACCTGCTGGGGAGCAGCGGCAACTGCAGCCGGTTATCATGACTCCTACAGGTGGGTAATTGGATAATTAATTAATCAAACCTTTTTCAACCTGTTCTTTATAACTAGATTTCTACATTGTTCCTTTTATTTTCACAGTATTCTTAAAACAACAGCGTTTATGTTTATATTGTTGTCACTTTTTTTTTTCACTTTTGTCCGTAGGAATGCTGGTGCGACTGAAGGGCAGCATCTTACGGATGGCCGTCCTGGATTCCACAGGGTCACAGCTTCCCCCTGCCCACGAGCCGTGGTTTGAACCCAACGTCACAGCCGACGGCGAGGAGAGAGAGAAGGTCCGCAAGCGCCGGCCCGTCTCCGTGTCCCCGTCCACATCACAAGACCTCAGCGAGAGCCAGTACGCCGTGGTGTGCTCGGAAAAACAGGCCAAAGTCATCGCCCTGCCCTCACAAGTCTGCATCTATAAACACAGCATCACAGAAACCTCCTTCATCCTGCGGGCGGACGTGGTGCAGATGAGCCAGGGCGTGTGTCTGGCTTGTTTCTGTGCCAACGGCCACATCATGACCCTCAGGTGAGAGACCCGTCAGTGCACGTCAGGCCTCAGGCCAGATCGGCTGGTTATTAATAAAAATGTATCAATCAAAATCACACCCTGTAACCAGGTTTTAGTGTGTGACCTCTGGTTTGACCTTTGGTAGTGATGAGCCATACCAGAAATTTTAATTCAATATGATACTTTTTTTTATATATCAATATGTGATAACAATATTGAAACTTAAACTGAATTGTAGTGGAATGTTTTAATAAACACATTTTTAATCTTTTTTATATTCCATGCTGTGAGTGATTTGTCCGTGTTTCTGTGTCTAGTTTACCTGGACTCAGACCTCTTATGGATGTGAACTACCTGCCTCTGACCGACATGAGGATAGCCAGGACGTTTTGCTTCACAAACCTCGGTCAGGCCATGTACCTCTGCTCCCCCACGGAGATCCAGAGGATCACCTACAGCCAGGATACCTGTGAAAACCTACAA